CATATGTATTTTGTTGCACTATACCAGATACCATGGATATTTAAATGGCAATATGCAATTTTCCCCAATATAACTAATAATTACCATTATATACCATATTTGGGAAAACAAATATCTGTAAAATGGTGGGACGTTTTTGTCTGTCACCAACTTGAGCCTAATAATATTATTCTCAAGCAAATACCACTAGATAATATATCAACTTCATCAGACAACCCAAATAATCTCTCTGAATATATATCCATGATGAAAAGAAAGAACCCACAGGCAACAAAAGCAGAACTCGAAAAAGAGCTACAGAAGATATTTTCAGAAGAAGCTGAGACAGCTCAAGAAGAATCAACCTCAGAAGAACCAGACTTAGAAGAACAGTCGGCCCATGGGATGTCACAAAAACCATCTCTATACTGAACATGGCCCGACCCGAGTAGCTGCCACAGCACAAGATTCCTTCTTATCGACAACACGTCAGCAATCAAATCCATCCAATAGTGAAGATTCCATCAGAAGCCCACCTGTCACCACGACAAGACATAAAGATACAACACCAACATAAAAGACAAAAAAATGAACAGTATAAAGTCAAAAGTAAATAGTAAAAGTAGATTCCCAATCTACTTTTCCCTGACAGCATCAAATCCAGTCGCCACCTGTCCCGACCAAAGTCATCTTCTCCTTTACAGCTCATCCTCCATGAATGAGACATTCCAATCCGCCTAAATAATTTTGGCATCCGCCATCTATATGAGGAAGACAAAGGCACTCCCCAAGATAGGGTCAGACGGAGTCTTCTTCTTGCTCTCTGCTATGCTCTTCTCCCTCTCTTATAAACTTTCTTCTCTCTCTCATATAAGCTTTCTCTCTGTACTCTGCTCTTCTCTGTTTATATATGTATATGTATATGTATATGTATATGTATACGTATACGTATATGTATATGTATATGTATATGTATATATATATCTATGGAAAATACTACACAATGCCTATAGGAAAAAATGAACAGTAATTTCACGTACCCCCATCATCGTCCAAAGTTCATCATGCGGTCACGATTGTCCGGTAGTGTTTCATTTTTTATTTTATAAATTGGAATGACTTAAAATTTGGAGCCTATATTTATCAAAAATAGGGAAATCTTCGAAAATTATAAAAAAAACATATTTTACATGAAAAACATTGACCAAAATACCTCTGAAAAGTTTTGGGGATATTTTGATCAATTTATTTTTTGCGGATAATTTTTTTTTATATTTTTATTAGATGCGCCTCAGTAAGATGTACATAACCTCCAAATTTCAAGTCATTCTGATTTATAAAAAATAAATAAAAAATAAAATACTACCAGACAATAGTTACCGCGCTATGAAATTTGGACGGTGATGAGGGTAGACAAAATAACTATTCATTTTCACTTATAGGCGTTAGAAATACTTTTCATATATATATATATATATATATATATATATATATAGTATATCATATATTATAGTATGTTATAAATATTATATATTTATATTTAAATTATTATCAATGTAAATATAAATATAAGATGTTTACCATATATCCCAGGAGTTATCAAACAAAGAACTATCAACTTCTTAACTTCTCAGGGAGACTATCAAACACAGAAACCATGAACTTCTTAAATAACTTCTAATTTATAGTTCATCAGGAACTTCCAACTTACAGTTCATGAACTTGCTTCCAGTTATTAAACAGGCCCTTATTGACGTTGCCTCTAGATTGGTATTTCCAAACCACCTAGGTATTGGTTAGTTCCTTACCACCCTTACTAACAAAATTTTAAAACTTTGAAAACTAGGTTTGTTGGGAGGTAATACTTTCAAAGTAAGGATAAAATTGTTGAAAAAAAGTCAAAAATTTAAAACCTCAATGCGATATGACCTGAAATATGGACATATACATATAATAAGGTCATTTACTGTAAAATCAAATGGTTGGGGATGTCATTGACAGGGTAAAAGGCCCAAAATAAAATTTCTTCAATATTGTGGCATTTTAATCTATCAAATTTCATATCCAATGATGACTAGGAATGATCATGATAACTTTCCTATAGTGTACAACTTTATTTTTTATCTACGTATAAATTTTTTGCAAAATTATTTTATAATCACTTTCAAATCAAGGAAGATTATGTCTCTACCATCTTTAAATATTAAGTGAAATCCACCTTATATACTATTTTTATTTTTTTTATTTTTCCCCTTAGTCAGATGATCTGAACATCAAACAACTTTTCCTATTTTATTTTTATTTATTTTTCTAAGATGTGGGGTTGTCCGTCTGGCAGACAGGTTGGGGTATATGTATGATGTTTTGATATGTCTGATATTTCCAATATTGGACTATCCTAAAGTTCGGTAGTTTAATGTCCGAAATGTTATACCACCCTATAGCACTTTTGTTTTGTGGTCGTCCCGGTGTTCAAAACATAAGACAAGTCTCTTAGCATACAATCCTAGAGCAGTATAATGAGGTTCCAATATTGCTAATATCCCACTATCAGCGGGGTTTTTGTCATTATAGAAGTTCAAATTATTGATGGTCCAATGTTAGCAATATCGGACCACCATTTAATTATGACATCAGATGTTCGTAACATCACACCATATGCTAAGAGACCTATCCGATGTTTCGAACATCGGATCGACCATGCTATATAGGGTAGTACAATGTTTGGGAATTACCCAACTTTAGCGCTAATCAATGTTGGAAATATTGGAGATACCCCTAATTGTTCCCAAGCAAGACGGACAATCCTACACTTTGAAAAAAATTAAAAAGCATAAAATAAAAAAAATGTTTGATATTTGGAACATTGAATGGAGGAACAAAATTGACAAAAAAAAAAAAATAGTGGGCATGTTGGGTGGACCTCCACGTTAAATTTACTAAAAAATATGGACCTCTACTTAATAAACCTATTTAAATATGGTTAAATATGAGTACATATGTACTTTTTTAAAAATTGATTTTATATATATATATATGGTTAATTTATCAAAATATTTATTAGAGATAAAAAAATTAACATTTTATCTGTATTGTTTGACTTAATTTCAAATACCTAACAAAATACATATGATTATGAATTAGAATGGTTGCAAAGATATAAGATATTAAAGTATATATGTCTAATAAGTGTTACCATAAATTTTTTAAGAGAAAATTACACATATATCCGTTATATTCATTGTTATAATGATAATAATACCTTTTAGTTTTCAGTATTACAGGTATATCTGTTTTTTTAATTTCGAAACGATTTAAAAAAAAAAAAAAAAGGACGGACTGCGTATTTTTTGTTCTTCAAAAACGAAAATCGTTAAATATTTCAGTTTTTCAAAAACCAAATCTAAAAAGTTATTGATTTTTGAAAATCCGAATTTATAGCTTCGATTGGCAGGAGTCCAGCTCTTTGAGAACCAGGTTCTCACTCATGGTTTCATCAATTGGGTTATAGTTATTGCTCTCATCAATGGCGTTGAGGCCTCTCGCTATTGTTGTAACTCTCATTTGATGAAGAATCAGAGCACCCAAAGCCATGGGTGAGAGAGATTTGGGTTTCGTAGAGAGAGAGAAGGAAGACGAGGAAACTTTTATAAAAGAAGAGCCCCATGGACTGAGAGTGAAGCCTAAAGTTAAGGGAGTTGTTAATATACTTGGTTGTCATGCCTTCATTTCTTGATGACAAATGGTGCTCGGAACTGTTGCATGGTTATCTTCATAGCCTGTGAGAGCTATTTTTGGAGAGAGAAACAAAGAGAGAGGGACATTGACGTTATGGGGAGGGGGATGGAAACTTGAAACTCTGACAGAGCAAAAGAATTTTGCAGAAACCCACATGTAACCAGAGGGAGAGATTTTTTTTCGCATAGAGATTACTGTTGGTTTCAAATTCAACATATAGAGGAATTGGGTTTTTGAATAAACAAGTTTAGGTTCATTTTGGGTTTTGAAAAATCGAAAATAGATGGTTTTATTTTTTTAAAAAAAATAATTCTAATAACAGAAATTTAAAAGTAATTTTATGATAATGGCAGAATTATACATTTTTTTTTATTTTTTAATATATATTTTAATAAATTGGTGGAATTGCCCAATCATTGAATAACTGAGCCGACCAAACCCATACTCTTTTTTCTTTCCAAAACAATTTTACGCCATAACTTAATTTAATTATACAAATGAATTGGATTAAAGGGAGCACCATTTTGTGATGTAAACCTGTCCAAATCCTGAGTGTTGTGGTACGGTTTCCTATGCCACGTTGGTTCCATGCAACAGCCAAGTGTTGCAACCATGCACACATGCACCAAGGTGCTTCCTCTCCTCTTGGCTATATAATAATACCATTTTCAGGTCATGTCAAACCACTTGTGTTTAGATTAAAGGGAGGCAGCCTCTTTATCTTTTCCTTTAAGAGGTTTTAATAACAACAGTTAAGGTAATTAAGCTTTGTGTTCTTAGTATAATAAGGTAATTAAGCTTTGTGTTAGTATATTTAAGTTGATCTGGTCTCTTTGGGTGCTCATTAATATTGTAATTAGGTTACCTAATTTATGTTCAGTAAGAAGAATTGACAGTAGTGACAATGAGGTATTTGTTTCCTCAGTAGTAGGCAAGTTAATTCTGTTGTGGTGTGTAGAAAGAGGAGATACAGCAGTTCTAGGCATAGGAAGGCAACAACATGGCTTCGAGCGACATGCCTCGAAGAACAATGCCTGCTGGAGATGTGCCGATCCCAGGCGAGCCCCTGTCGGTTGAATCTCAAGTGTTGGAAAGAGGGGCACAAATGCTGCAGTCGTTGAAGCCCGTGAAACAGATCCAACAGCATGTTTGCAGCTTTAGGCTTTACTCACATGACCTTACGCGGCAGATTCGTGCGCACCACTATGTCGCCCGTGTAAACCAAGACTTCTTGCAGTGTGCTGTCTATGACTCGGACTCTTCGGATGCCCGGCTCATTGGTTAGTTTGTTATTTCTTTTCTTGGGTGTTTTCAATGATTTTTCTTTTATTTGTTTTGATTCGGAGAGGAGTGTTTCGGTGAACTTCGATGAATGGATGAAGGGGTGGTTTCGGCCATTTGGTGGTGGAAGGGAGGGGTTGACAAAGGAAGCAGCATTTGGTTATTGTTGATGATGGGCAGTCTGGTACCTTGTGATTTTCACTTGGTTTGGGGGTGTATTTGATTCAGAAGAAACCACTCACATGGTCCAGACTAACAGACCCTTAAAGCTTCACCTTCATCACTTGTCATGGTCCAGACTAACAGACCCTTAAAGCTTCACCTTCATCACTTGTCACCCAATCAAACGGTTCCATGGTTTGATTATGCGGCAGGGAAGGTTTGTTAGGTACAATCAAATATTGAAATTGTTGGAAATAATGGGCGTAGGAAAAATTGGGGCAATAGAGAAGTTTTTTTTTGAGGAATCCACAAACAATAAGAGCAAGATCTCCCTATTTTTCAGGTGCTTTCTTGAGATGATATTTGCTCTTTAATATAATTATCAGTGTGCATGAGATTCTCTGGGTAAATTTGTTCTTGGGATGTTTGAGGTTATATTTTGCAATTGAAAACCAGTTCTATTTAGAGAGAGAGAGAGAGAGAGAGAGAGAGGAGGGTACGGGTTACCTACGTAGTTAGGTAGGTACGTACCTACTATAAGAAAGTAGAACTAACGCTGACACGGTCGGGGGACGGGGGGGTACGGGGGGTACCGTACCC